TGAGGTCACTGAACCCCTCAGCCCAGTTCAAGGCAGAGCTTCCTCCATGCTTCTATTTCATTCATCTTGTTCTGGAGAACGCCCTCCCCTGGCCCAGTTCTTCCATATCAGAACAAAAATGTGAGGACCAGACCCACCCTGGCCTCTGCCTCAGCCTACCTACTGCTAGTCTCACTGAATCAGAAAGAAGACGCTGGTTGTTCTCATGTCTAACTTCAAATCCCCAAGTCTGGCCTCAGAACACCGGAGCCCATGTAGGATGGTAGGACTGACCCCAAAATGGCTGCTCTATTTTCGGAGCTGGCCTGGTTTATGCAAGGATCTGGGCAGCTTGTCTGATCCTGTAATTATGCAGCGGGTCACTTGTTACCTCCGCCGACAGTAGATCTCAAAGCCAGCAAGCAAGGCTCTCAGGCTCCTGCCCCATCTCACACTGACAGCCCTGAAGCAGCCACACACAGGACCAACTCCACGGTTCACAGCTACATCCAGCTTTGTAAAGATGTAACTCCCACCTCCAAGTCACCGCCGCCACAGCATCCAGATCTGTGACCTCAAGGAGCCCGGCGCACAGGCGCACACCACCGCCAGGTGCTAGTCTCCCGCACATGAGTAAACGGTGTCAGCTTGCTTTCCTGAATTAAATGCTTGCTTTTAAGTTCATGGTACATTCTCACCCGTGGTCACACGAAATATGGTGACCTATGCCCCCTTTCCTCCCCCCAACAACCCCCCCGTGAGGACCGCAGTCAGGTAAATATCTGGTTATTGACACTGCCAGAGGTAAATCCGAGACCCCGCCATCTGCCCTTCATGGCAGCCTCTCTGCTCCTTCTTCACTCCTTTCTCCTCTGCCCCCAGAATCCAGGTCTCCAGACACCACTCCTAAAGCTTTGCTCAGGCCTGGCCTGGGACTGTAACTGTGAGCATCCTTCCGGAAGGGGTTCCCCAGGGTCATCCCCTGGAGGTCCATCCCTGCAGGCTGCTGGCTGGAACCTTAAGTCTGCCCCTGTGCTGAGGGCCTCACTCTGCATGTGGGTGTGCCTGTTTGCATAGCTGGAGGCTATGCTCCAGCTTCACATAGACCAGCTACAAAACCTCGCATGGCGCGCATCTCTCTCCCATGAGAAGAAGAGTGAGACTCGTGCATGGCAGGTGTCTAACTTCAGAAGGTCCTGCCGAGATCTTCTCAGCACAGCCATGCATTTGCCTCCCAGCCATGCTGCAGGAGTGGCCGGCCCAGTTTCTCCACATCGCTGCCAGCCAGCTTTTGTTTTTTGTTTTTGTTTTTGTTTTTACTCCAGCCGTTCCCATGGGCTGGCAGTGTGTCTTGCTGGGGCTTCCATGTGTATCTTCCTCACAGCTCCCCAAATTAGCCATCTTGGGCTTTGGGGGCCATGTAAACATTTTACCCATGAACGGGCCCTCTGCCTGTTTTTTTGCCAGTGCAGTTCTAGGTTCAAGAACTCTGTGTGTAGAAGAGTAACCCTGGACAAATACCACTGATGGGGGAAGTCCTTCTGTGTGCTGTGAATAGATGTTTCTCGTATTGGTTGATGAATAAAACACTGACTGGCCGGTAGCCAGGCAGGAAGTATAGGCGGGGTGACGAGACAAGGAGAATTCTGGGAAGAGGATGCAGAGAGAGGAGATGCCATGTAACCTAGACAACATGGAGATACATAGTTTAATAGAAATGGTTAATAACTAAGAGAGAGCTAGCCAATAAGAAGCCTGAGCCATTGGCAAAGCATATTATAATTAATAGAAGCCTCTGTGTATTTATTTGGGACTAAAGTGCTGTGGGACCAGGCAGAATAGAAACTTCCATCTACATACCACTTCCCACTTTGTGCCCTGTGTTTTCACAAGGACTTTAAAATTGTCCGTGTGTTTGCATATGTGTGTGTGCACATGCACATGTGTGTATACACATGGAGACCAGAAGTCTACATCAGTGTCTTCTTTAATCCTTTAATCTTATCCTGTGAAACAGAGTCTCTCACTGGACCTGAAGTTTGCTGGTCTTCTGAGCTTGCTGTCCAGGGAACTCCAGGAATCTGTGTGCCTCTGCTTCTCACAGGTTCTCACTCCCACCCCTAGATTTTTACATGGATTCTAGAGACATAAACTCAGGTCCTCACACCAAACAGTGTGAACTTTACCTTCTGGGCCACCTTCTCAGCCCCGAAACTTTAAAATCCAGATAAAGTCCAATTTTCATATTTTTTCTTTGCATGGGTCATGTTTTCAATGTCAAGTCTAAAGTCACTTCTAGAAGAATGTGTTTCCTGAGAGTTCACAGCTCTGGATTTGATACCTGAGTCTGTGGACCACTCTGAGTGTATCTGTTACTAGGGCGTCAGAGTCGAGGTTCATTATTCTTCTGTGGCACTGGTGTGTGATTGCACCAACCCCATCTGGGGAAAAGCAATCTTCCTGCTACTGCATCTGACCCTTGGTCAAAAGTCAGCCAGGTGTGTTCTATGTCCCCAACAAG